AGCCAAATTCGTGAGTCTAAAACTCATCATTGCATCAGACATGCTTTCATGGCGTCGAGTGTGGCCTAAATCAGGACTCTTTGTCTTACTCGCATCGGGCGTAAGATTGATAGCATCGGACGTGAAGAAAAAGAATTGTCTCTAACTTGATTACGCTAAGCGTTAAGTTGAATGACATCAGGCATAATGAGAGAGAATCATTTATACTTGAATTGACGTTGGGCACCAATTGAATGGCGACGACCGTGAGTTAAACAAAGATTCTTTACCCAAAACAAGGTTTGGGGTGACTTTGCCATGGTAGGTGCGAGTGCCTGGGGGTTCCTCACCTCATCCACGACAAGCATAGGTTGAATGACGTTGGGTGTGGGAGAGGTAGGGGCTTCTTATCACAATGGCACCAAGCACAAGGCAAATGGTGTCGAGCATGAACTTTCTTGTGAACACTTGTTGTTTGAATGCTTAAGTGGTGAATATGAATAGATTAATTGAATCTATTATATATCATATATTGATGCATGATGTTGAGTCTTTATATCTTGGTGTAGTGCATATAATGTAAATATATGATTAAATGGCTAAAATTTAAGTTGAGTTGTATGTTGTTCAGTTGAGTAATTGTGTTGAGAATGCTTAAGACATGGTGTTGAAGTTGTGTTGATTGACTTGGGATTAAAGGAAATGTCATTTTTAAAATTGCATATCCCATTGTGAGGATATTGTGTTATTCTTAAAGTGGATATTTGAGTCTCTTCTACGACCTTTGTTGATGTAGTATGTGGATAAGGTCGAGGTATACCAACTACAAGCAATCGTTGTTGATCTATATGTGAGTAAAGTTGAGGCATACGTGTACAAAACGACCAAGTTAGAGTAAAGTACAAGGTCGGAGGCCAAAATCCCTAACTAAATATCGGAAGGGTGTAATATTTGGAAGATAGTTGGTGAGCTAATCCTATATAGGTTACTTAGTTATGCTAGCTAATGTCATGATAGAATCACACCTAAGTTGTTTTACCTTGACAAGAATATTAAACTTCATAATTTAATTAGAAAATTTTGAGAAATCATGTTGTTGTGGATTATTATCCAAATTGATTGTTGATTTCGCTGGATTGAAAAGATTGTGTTGTTGGTTTGGTTGTTTCAAATCACTTAGTTTGTTTACTTATATTGTAGAAGATTTCCTAGTTGAAATATGTGACGATACATATAGTTGATTTGTTATACATATGCAATTGTGTATTGAGTTGTGTGATGCATATGACATGATATGATGTTGTTTAAAGTTGAATGATATGTTGAATTGTGTTGATTTGCAATATTGTGTTGTTCTAATTGATTATCATGTGGTATTATGTTGATAAGTTGTAATATATGCTATGTTAAAACATATTGAGTTGTGTATGATGATAGTATAATAGTTCCATTTCTTTGTTTATTATGTTGATTTCTTTTAAATATTAGCTTACTCTTGCCTGTTTCCATGTGGTTAGACTACGATGATTATATTTGATATGTGAGTAGAGTATGGATAGGCTATCATTGGAATTCCTCATGAGGTCATGCAGGGTGATGGAAGTGTGGATCTTTTTAAGTTACCCTGGTGTAGCTGGATAGTAGTAGTATTGTTTGGCTGACAATTAAGATTTTCTTTTCATATACTTGAGTACATGATTACTATGTGTTATATACACACACATGCATACTTGTTATATGGTTTAGTAGTTGATACACTTTTATTTATATGTATATATCTAGGTATTGTAAGTATGTAAATTCTAAGTAATTATGTTTTTATATTTTTTTCGCTGCTAATAGTAAAACTGTTAAGTGTAATGAACTGATGGATCATTACAAAAAAAAAATTCTTACTAATTATGAATGACTTTAACAATTTGTGTCCTCCTATCAAATGTGTCATGTCAATACTTCATTAGTTATTTAACGTATAATTGATGAGACGACACAAATAATCTAAATCTCAACATAATTTGTGAGAAAAAATATTTAAATATAAAAATTGTCAAAAAAAAAAGTGTGGAGAAACAAATTTAAAAATTAATCCACACTTTTATATAATAACTTCAAGTCTTTTTATTATTATTATATTATGATTAATATCTTCAAGTCTTAACTTTTTAAATTGGGATAATCTGTGCATGTATTTTGCTCACACATATAACCCACACACCCCTTCTTTATTTTATGATACACATAAAGCTTCCAGATTTCATATAAAAAACCAAATATTTATTGAATAAGAAAGATTTTAATTCTCAAATTAATATCAACATTTCTTTACATATTTATAAATTATATAAAAATAATCTTAAGTTAACTAAACGAATTTATAAAATTGTAAAATTGAGTTACACGATAGTTACTTGTTATGTTAACATTAACAATGTGACGGTGCCGACACGATTCTAGGTTCTGGCTTCGTAGACTTTGGGATCACATGCTGTTGGTAACGCTGAGCACTAGTTTACTAATTTCCTTAAATGCTACCTATTTTATTCAAAATATGTCTGTCCAAAGCATGTGAATGTGATGCAAAGGAAGAAGGTGACAAATTTTGGTGGCATCGTAACTTCGAAAGAATTTAGAAATCATGATGCTTAACCATTAAATGACCCCATAATTGAGTTTTTAGTGGGTGTGATTATAATTTATTATTTAATACATCATTATATGACTTCATTGTCACATGATTAATTCAGTGACCCCATTTTCCGCAGCCGATTGCAACTTGGCTTATGCTGTGTATTATTCCACCTCTCATTTATATTTATATTTCAACTCGAGTTACGTCTATGATAATTCTTATTTCTTTTGTTTTTTAATTAAGTCAAAAAGGTATCCATTGACGGGATTGAATTGCATGTATTTTAATATTAAACAACAATTCTAATCAAGGAAGAAGAAGAAGAATAGAGAAAATAGATTATGAGAACTTTGGTACAACAAACTATAAAATGCTGATTATTCAGGGAAAGCAATCTTGGAATAATTGAAGCTGGTGTTGTTTTCATTGGATTCCAATAAATTCTGTGAATTAATTTATAACATAAACTAAACATTATATTAAAGCATCTTTAATTTCCGATGTACATTGTCAAGTCCCTTTCTTGATGACGAAATATTCCGAATAGAATTAGACTTGAATTTTTTTTTAGATATTTGAATTTTTTTTTTCTTGTTAAAGTCAGAAATCCCATTTAAAATGGTCAGGTAATTTCTCTAATTAAAATTTATTATTAACAAAATCAGTAAATATTTTATATTGATAAAATATTAAAAAAATTAATTATAATATTAATACAAAGTTTTTTTTTCTGTCAAGAGTTATAAGTGTACACAATATAAATATTTTTTTTTATCAAATTTAATGTATTCCGTTTCTAAAGTCAATGAATATAAATAAATATTATTTGTGTCAGTAATGTTGGTTAAAATAAAGATTTTTTTAATTTATTTTTTGCCAAAAAAAAAAAAAAAACCTTTTCCTCTAGCATTGAAAACTTTTTATTTTTCGATGAGACTTTAAAATATTCTCACAAACTTTGATGATTTGATCCTTTGAAATAACTGTGAGATTAATATGACATCTGTACTGTCTCGGGTGATATCCGAGATGACCTACAACCCGATCATATCTTGTAACACATCGAGGTCGGTGATGACTCGATAGAGCGTTTGAGGTGAGTCCCTTCGGTCGGAATCCGACTAGGTAATTTGAGTCCAGTTTAGAATCCTCTCACCTGTAAGGACTGAGGAGACCACTCGGCATTAACCCGACTGGGTCCTCGGTATGAACCTAGTCGGTCAGAACCCGACTACACTTGTTCCTTTCAACCCCGCACCATCAAGATAAGAGCGGTTAGGAAAATCCCTTCATTCTCGGGGCCCAAAAGGCCCATGAACGACGTGTCATAAAACCCAAAACCCTAGAGTTGAGAGGGCAGATTACACTTTTGAATGCTCTGGCTTTGCGGCTTGACCTAGGAAAAACCCTAGCGCACCCCGTGACCGGAACAACATCCAATCACTTAAAGTCTACCCCCTATTTGAGAATGTATTCCACAGGATTATTTTGATTTGTTTTCCCTAAAAGCTTAACACGTTTTGTCAACTGAAATAGACCTATTAATTTGAAAACCTTCAATATCGGAATCGGGAGGATCACCCCTATCTAGCCTTGATCTGTTTTAAATTCAGCATGGAGGATGCATTATTCTAATTTAATTCCTTGACAATTTTTTTTTTTTTTTTTTGCGAAAAGAAATGTTTCATATTTCACATTTTAGCTTCCGGATGTACTCGTTCAAATTTTGTTTAGGTTCATGGATCTAAAAAGGTGGGAAAAGCCAAAACTATGGGCAAAGGAAAAAAAGAGGATCATGGTTGTCAATTAGGTCATCATTGTCTGTTTGTCTTCTAAGGTGATTCATAATTGATCAATAACTACAAAAGCATGACATATTGGGCAACACTAATTCAATTTACGTTAGTGATACATTAACAATTTTTATACCGTCATCTAAATATAATTCATCATAAATATAATATTTTTTATAATAATCATGTAAATTATGAGTTGTAATTAAATAATTGTGTCTTAAAGTTAAAGTGAATCCTCATTAAACCCTTTAAATTTATCTATCAAACAACATGCGATAAGGTCATTTAGCTGCCACCAAAATTCCCATAGCAAAATCATATAATATCTATAGAACTCCAACAACTGATCTATGTCTACGTGTTTGTTTTTATCTGTTCTATGCCTTTCTGAATTGCGTCCTTATTATGACCTTACCAACTAGAAAGTACTGGTGGGTGATAGTGGTTACGAAGTTCATTACTTCCAACAAAATCAATTTAAAAAGGCAAAAATCCACTGCCAAAGTTAGTAGATTGCTTCTTGTAAAGAAACTTTATTTAATTTATATCAAACGTAAAAAACGAAACATGATGACATGACAGTATACTCGCATTTATAATCTTTAATTAAATAACCTTTATTTATTTTTTCTCCCTAATAACAGCGTTGAATTTTAAATAACAAAAAACAAGGTGATTAAAGACGATGAGAATTGAAATTTGAAAGAGTGATTTGCCAGCATCATTTACAGCTCCAATAATGCAATGCCGTGGACGTAACTATCACATAATCATGCACCCTGATGGATTCTCATCACTGAAATATTGATCGCAACGGTTCACGTAACAGGGCCTGCCTCCACCGTAGCTATCATAAACGGGCCTTGCGTAGTACCCGTCGTAACAGAGCACGGGCCCACCGTATTCGTACCCAGGCCCAACGGGCATGCCCTCGAAGCACGGAGCAGGAGCGTAGAGCATCCCCACTGGAACCGCCATCGGCGGCGCCAACTGTGGCTGCATGGGCATGTGAGTAGCAGCAGGCTTGTCTTTGGGCTTTTCAGGCCCGGGCCCGCCAGCGTCCTTCTTGGGTGGTGCATCACCTTTAGGCTTTTCCTCGTCTTTCTTTTTGTCGGGCTTCTCGCCACCATCCTTCTTTCCGGGCTCGGCCTTGGGCTTGTCGGCTTTGGGAGGGTCCACTTTGGGTTTGTCCCCGCCTTTCTCGGGCTTGGGCTTGTCCCCGCCTTTCTCGGGCTTGGGCTTGTCGGCGGCGTCTGGCTTCTTACCAGGCTCATCTACTTTGGGCTTGGGCTTGGGTGGTTCCAGTATCTCAATGCTCTTGATAGAGCCTCCACCTTTGTAGCAAAGCTTGTCCCTGATCTTCTCAGGGCTACAACACACCACTGTGATCAGCACAATGTTTTCCTTCTCATCGAACCTCTGGTCTCGAATTTCTCTTGTTCACAAAATTTCAACACCCAAAAATCAACTCAATTTGATACCCTCTTTGATGCATGCAGAAATTTCACATGTATAAATGAAAAAATAAAAATTTTGGTGATGAACTCACGAGGGTACTTGCCGAGAAGTTTCTTAACCTTCTTGTAGCATTTCTCACACTCGAGGTCAACCTTGAGTTTCATGAAGGTAACCTGAATTAATGTGTTAAACAAAACCACCCATCAGAATTTTAGTACCCTATGCATCCAAAAGGAACTAAATTTATAATGGCAGCACCGTACCATCTAGTTAATTATTTTACAAATTCAGGCAGAAGAATTGAAATCACATTTTTTAATGTAAAGAATTCAGGACAAGAACTATTGGACATTGAGATAAAAAAAAGAGTGATAATTAAAGTCCGTACCTTTTCAGCCATGGTTGTGGATGAAGAGATAGATCTGAGGCAGAGATGAAAATGATAGAGAATGCAGACAAAGTGATGAGAGCAACAACAACAGAGGAAAGGGACAGAAAAGAAACCTTAAGAAGGTATTAGCACATCACGCTAACCAATCAAACACCAACACGTAATCCTGCAAGGTTGAATTTCATGCTAAGGCTGTCTTTACTCTTCACAGTTGAGGCTTACGATATGAATAGCTGTGGCAACACAAGATCGAACATCCAAGGTTTTGCAATTCAGCACGCAGCCTCTAGGACTCGCATGTGCTATCTTTTTGATTCACACGCCCAACCTTGTTGACCCAGTGCACCTTCCTCAATCCCTATAAATAGTATTGAATTAAATGCCAAATATTTTTACCATGATCATTACTTTTAAATTTTAATATTTTTATGAGTTTTGTTGTGGGCAATAATGATCATGCACTACCGCATGCCGACCGTACACGTGTCTCAAGGCATTGTGTCTTACTCACGTCTATATGTGAGGATCCTATAACATTTGTAGTACATAGGGGATCATGCTCCATTCATTAGCCACTAATGAATACAGACCAAACTATATGGTTTTATATGGTTTTGGATGGTGAAATGAGTAAAGCCACCATACCTAATTAATTGGTTGTATTCTTGTAGATGCATAAGGGGTTGAGTGTGGTCCAAATTTGTGGGCTCCAATGAGTCCACATATTTCTTCGAGCTAGTGAAAGCCAATCATAGTTTTTAACAGAATCTGATGGTGGTGAAGAAAAATGTGTTTATTTAGGTGGAGGTTAAACTCATAATTGGACCCTTTCTCTAAACACACGTCCTCCTTTTGTTGCGTTTGACATTATTTCTATTTTGATTTTGGCGAAATGGCGAATGTATTTTCTGTCGTTCTGTTTGTCTATAGATGATAAAAAGCTCCATGTAGGAAGGTCACACGAAACATGGTGTCTTTGGTTTCAACCTCTCAAATTGTTACAATGTGAAACATATACCTGCCGCCATAGATTGCTTTCATTGGATTGGCTTGGATCCTTTCATGTAACAAATTTGTCTAGTGCAATCTCAATCTTTAACAAAAAGCAACAGACAAAAGATTTAAATAACAATAATAAAGAATGTGTACGGATTTTGATGGCGGAGATTTTCATGAAGAGAATGTTAGTGAAAATCTTTCATAAAAGAATTTATGGTCTTGCTAAATCACTTGTTAAAGAATATATATATATATGTAAAAAGTGAGGGGATTGTTTATTCATTTTGTTGACCAGGCCTGATCTGCTGAACAAGTAAAAAACAAGAAGCTGACTAGGTTCATCTGCTAAACAATATATTGGGCTTTAACTGATGACTAGGCCCATGACAGGTATTAGGCCTGCGCAATTCTAAGGCTGATGATATATACACCTCCTATCAATTATAAATACACCTCCAATCTTTTTTTTTTTTAAATTCCTAAAATATCCTTCTAACTAAATTTTTATTTTTAAAATGTTTTATTCACCCCCTTCTTTTATCATTCTTCTTCTTCTTCTTTTTTATTCTTTTTCTTATTCTCCTTTTTTATCACTCTAGTCATTTTTTGATGATTTTATTCTTTTTCGTTTTTCATTCTTGATTTTTCTTCTTTTACAATCAACATAATCATATTTTATCTTTCTATCTTTTAAATTCTATTTTTCACTTTCTACTCTATTCTTTCTTAAACCCTAATTTTTCATTCAATCATCATTATCCTCTACATTCAATACAAGGTACAAAATTAATATATTAAATTACATTTCATATTTACAATTTTTTTTAAACTTATTTAACATTACTTATGCACAACAGGTTCGATCGCAGACGCTGGTGGTGGATGAAGAGATAAAGAAACTGGTAAGTTAAATGTGTCATGCGCTTGTAAAATAAGTTTTTTAGCATTCCGGAAAGTACTTTCCGGAATAGTAAAATTATTGTTCATATAATTCCGGAAAGAGCTTTCCGTAACAGTAACTTTAATATTATGGAAAGTACTTTCCGGAATGTAAAATAAGTTTTTTAGCATTCCGGAAAGTATTTTCCGGAATAATAAAATTATTGTTCATATAATTCCGGAAAGAACTTTCCGTAATAGTAACTTTAATATTATGGAAAGTACTTTCCGGAATGTAAAATAAGTTTTTTAGCATTCCGGAAAGTACTTTCCGGAATAGTAAAATTATTGTTCATATAATTCCGGAAAGAACTTTCCGTAATAGTAACTGTAATATTATGGAAAGTACTTTCCGGAATTATGTAACAAAACATTTCCAGAAAATACTTTCCGGAATAAGAATTTAATATTATGGAAAGTTCTTTCCGGAACTATAGTATTTTCCGGAACATTTTTATATAATTCCGGAAAGAACTTTCCGTAACAGTAACTTTAGTATTATGGAAAGTACTTTTCGTAATTATGTAACAAAACATTTTCAGAGGCTACAAAATTAAATATTATGGAAAGTATTTTCTATTCATGAGCTTATATAGGCAAAAACTTGAAATAATTAAAATCAAAATAACTTGCAAGTTCCATGTACGTGCACAAAGTTTTGTTTTGATATAATCACTTCATATATAGGAAACACAGAATTATTATCAACCAACATGAAATTTTTTTACTTTAATTGGTTATATTTAAGTTCGGATGTTAAGTACGTAATTAATATTAGAGAGATTTAACGCTTATATAGTAATCTTGTGAGAGAAATCACTTTCAATAAAAAATACATATAATCTCTTAAAAAACGAAAAATATATTTGTGAAGATAATTTAATTCTTGATCCTCCACTTGCAAACATCCTAGCTAGTGTAAGAGTTAATGGCATTGGATCACCAGACGAAACACTGGTATTATTCATATTGATTACATATCAGTTGTGCAATTACTTTTTCATCATATATTCTCACCTCCCCAGTTTGAAGCTTATTATTAGCAACGTCTCTGACCAGTGGCGGAATTTGAATTAAAAGTTTGAAGGTCTCAAATTATTATTTTTTATATATAAAATCATAAATTAATTTTTTTATTAAATAAAAAATAGAATTTTTCTTTTTTTTACTTAATTTTTTTTAATTTTATTATAATTAATAATATAACAATATATAAATATAATATTAATATATATATATATAT